AGGGCAATCTAGCAGCACAGTCAACAGTCTGTCCTCTGCGTGCAATGTATGCGACTCCAGGGCTGCTTTTTGCTGCTCTCCTTAGTTTCCGCCTTAAAGGTTAGAATCCCTCTGTATGAGCCTGGGTCCCCACAGTCTTGCCCAGAATTGTGGTTCATTGCAGCCAGAACTGGGGCTGAGCACAGTCTGGAGCTTTTATCTTCTTCTTGCTAGGGAATGCCAACCAGGCACTCGGCTGCCCCTCATCTCTGGCTCCATTCTCTTCCCGTGTGTGCACCGTGTCTCTGTACCTTAGACTTTTACAGCTCCTCTGATTTTCCTTCTGGTTTTCTCTTTCCTTCTCGTTGTAGAATTTCCAGTCAGTCAACTTTCCTGTAGTTCTGGATAATGTCCACTTTATATTTTAGTTGTATTTTTTTAAATAATTGTGTGAGGCTGCAGTTAGGCATTTACCTATGCTGCCATCTTGGTTTCTCTTGAAATCTGGTATTGAGATACCTCTTACTTTATTTTTCTTTCTCAGGATTGCTGTGGCCATTCGGGGTCTTTTTTTGTTCCAGATGCATTTTTGGAGAGTTCTTTCTAGATCTGTGAAATATGCCATTGGTATTTTATGCATTTTAAGAGTCTTGCTTGCCTAGCAACTTTGCTTAAAATATGAACCATTCAAATCTTCCCCTTTGCTTCACATTTACTTCAGTTAGATCTTGAACTCATGTTTCTCCATTTTGCTGCTGTTTCTTTCATTCAGTAATCCTTCAGAACCTTTCTCTTGGACTGTTGCTGTGTGTAACATTACATCACCTCCCACCCTAGGCACTAGATTTTATCTCTTATACATACCAGCTAGATTAATCTCAATGTGCTTTTCCTCTAATTGTGGTGGATCTCCACTGTCTTCCAAAGAAAGGCCAAACTCATTAACTCACTATTAAGTATTGGCTATTAGTCTTGGCTCTCATCACTTCCCTCACATAATCTATAGTATAGTTAACCTCAACCTAATATCCTCGTGGTGGTTTTGCTCATGTTGTTCTTACACCTGGTCATGCCCTGCCTCTTCCCCATTGACAAACACATCACAGGTTTTTCATCTCAGGTGTCATGCAATCCCTCAGGCTTGCCACAGCCAGAAATATTCCTTTTCTTCTCAACTCCCATAGCACCTTTGCTGTATCTAATTACTTTGATTGGTTGTCTTTTTTTGTACTCTCTCTCCTAACGAAACTAAGCCCCCCTGTGCAAGGTGGATGCTCAATAAAATATTTGTTGAATGAATGAATTATAGTTCAGGTCCTTGTTATCTTTTATTAGTAGTGTTTCTTCTTTTTCTACAAAATCACTAAAAAGAATATAGAAGAGGAACTAATAAGCTAATATATAAAAGTAATTATTGTTTTAGATGATGTGTTAATACCCAAGTTTGTACTTAAGGCAAAGTGTTTTCAAGCTTCAGCCTTGTCTTTTGAGTTTCATTCATCTGGGCTTTCAAGGCACTATAGGATCCTTTTCAGTTGAACTATTACCTCAAAGTAGTTTGTGTTTTGTTTATTTATATCAATTATAGTATGCTTAACAATTTTTGTCCTGTGAAGTTTTTGGTTGGTTTTTTTTTTTTTTAATATATTTTATTGATTTTTTTACTGAGAGGAAGAGAGAGGGTTAGAGAATTAGAAACATCGATGAGAGAGAATCATCGATCAGATGCCTCTTGTGCACCCTTACACTGGGTACCCGCAACCAGGGTACATGCCTTTGACCGGATTCGAACCTGGGGCCCCTCAATCCGGAGGCGACACTCTATCCACTGAGCCAAACCGGTTTTGGCCGTCCTGTGAAGTTTTTAAGGTGTTTAAAAACTTATGAGTTTTTAAAAATAAAGTAATAAAAGGAACAATTAGAATAGTTTACAGAAAAAATGTACTGGTTTTACAGTTAAAGTAGACTATCCTCTTTATTTCATACTGTCATGGGTATTAATATCTTACTAACCTGTCACAAGTTAACTTGTTTCTTTTTCTCAACCTGTGAGTCAAGTATTTCCAGAGATGTGACAAGCAATACATTCTAATCCTTTCCATCCATCTTATATTACGGAACAAGGTTTTTTAAAGATGCATTGTAGCCAAGAAGAATGTCATAGCGAATTATGTGTAGAATTTTCTGATTAACTGAGTGACTTTCATAGTCAGCTAGAAGATAGTAATGAGTCTAACATTACACCATCAGAAAGGGAAACAAGAAATGTGATAGTATCTTGACAGTGAAAGTGATTCTGAAGAATGGGCAAGGGGAAAAAATATTTTAGCAGCCTTGGGAGAATATACAAATATTTCTGGTGTAATTATTCAATTTGAAGATGCACAAAGTTTAAGTAAAGTAACCAATTTATTTTTTGACTAGAGGCCCGGTGGACAAAATTCTTGCATGGGGGCAGGGAGTCCCTCAGCCCAGCCTGTGCCCTCTCATAATCCAGGACCCTTCACGGAATGTCCAACTTCTGGTTTAGGCCCTATCCTGCAGAGATCCCTGTGGGAGAAGGCCTGCACAGGCAGTCGGACATCGCTCTCCCAGTCCAGGACTGCTAACTGTTTGCCTGCCTAATCACCCCCTACTCACTCCGCCTGCCTACCTGATCGCTCCTGATCTCTCTGCCTACCTGCCTGATCACCTCTAACCACTTTGTCGGCTGGTCTGATCACTCCTAACCGCCTCGGCCTCACCTCCTACTGCTGAAGCTTCATGCAAAAGGACATCAAGAGGTCATTTGCCTGTCCGGTCTAATTAACATAGTATGCTTTTTTATTATTATAGATGAGAATTTTTCCTGTCTCATTACTTCTCAAACCAATTTACACTATCACCAGATAGAAATACCACAAAATCTCTGCTAAGACTTCATCATGAATGGACGTTACTTATAAAGAAGTTGCTTAATTTAATTATGTTGATGGGACTAACAAAAAGAAGCCAGAATGGAAATATTACTGGCCAACTGATCTTTTAGTTGGATCACATATATTTCCATAAACTATTACTGGAAAAAAGTTCAAGCAGGTACTTACTACATTCTTTCATCAGAACAATAATTCATAAGCAACATGTAATACAGACCATCTTTATAAAATAAGGCTTCTTTTGTATCACTTTATCTCAAAATTCAAATCTTTATAGTATATCAAAACAGCAGTTTTTACTCAGTGAAACTGATTCCAAGTAGAGGACACATCAGATTGAAGACAAATAATCCAGCAAAAATTATAAAATATGGAATTTTAGTAAGGGTACTTTGTGAAAGTGAGAGTGACTATATTTGCAACTTCAAGATATACATTGGTGAAAGTTACAACAGACTGTATTACCTGTCTTATGCCCTGTTCTTGATTCTTGGCATCATATTTACCAAGATAATTACTGCAACATTGTGTCTGCACCTGAACTATTATTGAAGAACAAAATACTGGTCTGTGTAACAGTAAGGGAGACTGTGAGTTACAAAGCTTCTAAAGGAAAAGTAGCCAGCCGCACGTGAGTTCTGGCTCAAAATAGCAAAGTTTAAGGTCAGAAATTACATCTTACACATACCTGTGCTGTCAGAACTTTTAATAAGATCCTTGAAAGTTTGGTAAATCTGGATAATGATGTAATTATGAGCTAGTCAAACCATAAGCATAGTGGAACCTGTTTAAACTTTGTATGACTAAGAACATATTCCATCACCTCAGAAAATACTGGTTTATTGGGAGATTGAGAATAGAAAAAGGATGTCCCCCTGTCACTTTTTGACCTTGTAGCTTCGGAACACTCAACTAATCTTTGTTTAGAATGCTATGCCAAAAAAGGATTTGACATTGTCTCCCTGAACCCTAGTGAAAGCAAATACATCTCACCTAGGATTAGAGCATTACCTCACTTCTCTCCAGATGATATAAGATTAATCTCAGTTCTGGCAATCTATCATCAGTTTTGTAGGTGTAGTGTACTTAAAGTATTAAAAATGCCATATTACTTACTACCAATGATTTTCTTCAAAATATAGTGATTCTTTTAAGCTGTTGCTAATGGTTTACCTGTTGAAAGTGTTAAGTAAATGAAGAAAAGTTTCTATCCCTAGCTGGTTTGGCTCAGTGAATGGAGCGTTGGCCTGCGGACCGAGGGGTCCCAGGTTTGATTCCGGTCAAGGGCACATACCCGGGGTTGTGGGCTCAATACCCAGTGGGGGCATGCAGAAGGCAGCCAGTCAATGATTCAGGGGGCATGCAGCCAATCATTAATACTCTCTCATCATTGATTTTTCTATCTCTTTTCCTTCCTTCCTCTCTAAAATCAATAAAACTATATATTTAAAAAAAAATAGAAAGCAGTATAGCATATGTATATGTTAAACTCTGACAATTACTTATACTAATAAAAGGGTAATATGCTAACTAGACCAGGAGACCTGGACAAAACCATGGTGGCGAGGCAGAGGCGGTTACGGGTGATCAGGCCAGCTTGCGGGGGGAGAGGGTAGTTGAGAGCAAGCAAGCCTCTGACAGAGTGGTTAGGGGCAGGCAGGCAGACAGGCAGATGAGTAGTTAGGAGCCAGTAGTCCCAGTTTGCTAGAAGGATGTCCCAAATTGGAGATGGTGCAGGCTGAGCTGAGACACACACACACACACACATATGCTGTGCACAAATTTTGTGTACCGGGCCACTAGCTGATTTATAAAATGTGGTATATGTGTATGTATTTCTTTTAGTGTGCTGATAAAGGGAATAAAGCTGAGAATTAGCAAGGTGAGAAATAAACTCCATGAAAAAACAGGAAGTTGAACTCGAGTTGCTCCTTTAGCAGTAATTGTGGGGAAGATGGTCAGAGTTGATCCATGACTAGCATTTCTATTACACTGACCATTAAGTTGCATGGGGGAGGTCTTAGGGGGTAGGAAGGCAAGGCAGATGGATTTTTAAGAAATCTCTTCGTTTGATCTCTCAATTCTCTCTCTCATCCTTCTCAGGAGTTAGAAGCAGCTCTTCACAGAGATGATGCAGAGTTTATTAGTGACCTGATCGCCTGCTTGCTTCAGGGCTGCTATCAACGAAGGGATATCACGTGAGTAATTCTGATCTTAACTAAATTTTTGCAGAGAAAATCAACCAATCAACCAGTCACCAAGATGTTTCATGTCTCCTAACAAACCAGTACTGATCATTAGCCAAAATGACATAACAGTGTAAACTGAGTACTTACAAGTGGATTCCCAAGTCCTGTGTTTTTGTTCTTTCTGTAGTTAACTTTTTAAAAATGTTTTTTACTGATTTTAGAGAGAGAAGAAGGGAGAGGGGGAGAAAGAGATAAAGAAACATCAAGGTGAGAGACACATCGATCAGTTGCCTCCTGACCAGGAATTGAACCAGTGACCTCTCGGTTCCTAAAGCACACCAGCAAGACGACGTTTCTTTTACATCCGTGTTTCTATCTCTCTTCCTCTCTTTCTAAAATCAATAAAAAAATTTTTTTGAGTTGTTTTTGCTGAGCTGGTGCGGCCCAGTGGTTGAGTATCAACACAAGAACCCAGAGATCATCCGTTTGATGCCCGGATTGTGGGCTTGATTCCCAGAAGGGGACATGCAGGAGGCAGCCAATAGATGATTCTCTCTCCTAAATGTTTCCATCTCTCTCTCCCTTCCTCTCTGTAAAAATCAATGAAAAATATCTATATTTTTTGTTTGTTTTCTTTTCTTCTTGAATTTCAGATGTTTTAAAGAGAGATACACACACGCACTCACACACACACGTGGCTAAGTGCCCATCTTTCTGACCATTAGCTATGTTGCACACTGACCACCAGGGGGCAAACACTCAACACAGGAGTTGCCATGATGTACACTGGCCATTTAAAAATAAACGGCAACACAGTCCTGGTGCTGACAAACCAACACTCAGCTTCCCCCAAGTCAGACCCTGGAGCTGTACCCCACCAAATACAGCTAATGCTGCCAAGACCCCATGGTGCAAAATGCGGCCTCCAGCCCAGCCTGGAAACGGTTGCTGTGGGGTAATGATATCACATAGCAATGCCCAGCTTCCTCTCCCTAGCTACTAGCCTCCTCAGGCTTTCTTCAGCCCAGGAATCCGACTTGCAATATAGCCAGGTCCAAATATTTTACATTTTAACCAAATGTTTGTGAAGCATTTTCACGTGCTTCATCTCATTTGATCCTCACAGAAGTCCTAAAGTAGGTAGATAAGAGACTTGGTAGAATCCTATTTTCTTTTCATTAGCAGAAAACAGAGATTTAGAAAATTTAGAAACTTGACCCGACAGAAGAAGTAAGAAATGTTGGACCTTGAAAATGACTTCAGTGTTTCTCACTGGGCAGAATATAGTCAAACACTGCTGCAGTTAAATATTTTATCCTTTGTTCTCCCTGATGATCTACAATAATAACCTGCTCAGTGTTGATATTTACTGCTGTGTGGCTGACAATTACTTGAAAGAGAAGTTGGGGTACTTCACTGGGCTGAGAAAAGTTTAGCTAAATCATGAAGCAGGTCTAATTAAGCAAGTTTATTCTATATCTATAAAAGGCTCACATGCATGATACATATAAAACTATTGCTGGCCCTAGTCACATGCATGTATTTCCATCTGTCATTGTCAATTGTGAATTTGGTTGACACTTCCATTTTAGAGAAAGGGTGAATAGCAATATTAAAGTATTCTAATTAATTTCTTTTTGATGTGCACAAATCTGTGCATCAGGACACTAATAGATTTATATAGGGTATATTTATATACAAGAAGAATGATCACTTTTTGGCTAAGATCAAGTTTGTGTACAAGGAAAATGAATTGTCTCAAATTATAAACTGTCAAGTATCTCGTGGTAAGGTGGTATGGAGATGCCAAGAAAACTGTTAGCAAAGTGATACAGTTGAATGGTATGGATTGTGAAACTAATCAATGGTATGGATTGTGAAACTGAGTAGGATAAAGGTGCTATTGGAAAGGAATATCAAACATACAATTCTTTGGGACAGGTAGAGGCTTTCAGGCAGATTGTAGGCACAAAGAATAACACTGAACATTTACAGTGTTTGTTGGGTTTGTATGTTTGTGCTTCCATTGCCTCACACTGGAATATGGAAGTTCTCCCAGCCTATCACCTGCCATATCCTCCAGTGAAGCTATTATTCTGGTGAAATGATTTCAATGTAATCGATTCCACGTTTTATTTTAGCCTAGGAAAAATATGCCTTATTGTTTGAGGTGCTTGGTATGCATTAGAAATTCTAGAAAGTATGTGGTAGATAAATGAATTTGTTACCAAAGAAATACTGTCTTTTCATAGTCCTCACTACCAAAAAAATCCTCCATTTTATTTTCAAACTCATCTTTGCCACATTATCAGCTTTTTACCACAGTTTGAACTGCATTTCGTTCAGCTCCTTCCTCTTGAAGGGGCATCATCAGCTTCACAGGTCCTGAAGAGAGAAAGTCAGTCTAAACCCACTAAGATTCAAACAGTTATGCATATATCAGTGCCCATGCAATGAATGTGAATGCTGCAATTGAATCAGATTCTGAGAACCTTGATATTTAGAGGGATTATGTTGTACTGTGATAAACTAACACATACACATTTTCCCCAGTTAAGGTATTTATTGTAAAGAAATTGTTTCTTCTCTCTTTGAAAAAAGAAAATGTTTAATTTATTTGCCTAAGCTCCTTTGCTTTTTTCCCATGAATATTTCCTCTCATTTTTTTCTATTAATATAATTACCATAGATTACAAGTTAACATGGTAGTATGCCTCTGTTTTTAATTACTTGAGGGGGTGGGGGAGAAACATTGATTGGCTGCTTCCTGCAAACCCTTACTGAGGATTAAGCCCACAACCCAGGCATGTGCCCTGACCAGGAATCGAACCAGTGACCTTTTAGTACCTTATATGACACTCAGCCAACGGGGCCAAACTGGCTAGGGCTGACATATAATTCTTGTAATACATCTTTGCTTAGTGAGAAAAAAAATTTTAAATCAAGTATTGGAGTGTAGGATAACCATGTGACAATTAAACACTTTATTAGGTACTTATCAAAATACAGAGAATTACCAATCAAACTCTAAAAAAAATTAGATTGCCATCAAGCTGCCTTAAATGTTTCCTATTGTTTTTCTAAGCCATTTTCAGAATCCAGATAATAGTATTTTATAATATGCCCTAAAATTTATGTATAATAGAATATAAAATTATAGTTGCATATTGGAGTGGATTCTTATATTCTAGAGAAGTTTTTTTCATATTTGCATTTTAACCTGAAATATAACTAATTAAGCTAGGCAGACATTTAGTTCTTTTTTGTTTGCCATCTAAGTCGTAGACCTAATTTTGAAGTGGCATCCAAACTCAGTCTCTTTATCTGTACAAGCGAAGGTAAAACTGTTGACCTCAGTTTCGCAATCCATACCATTGATTAGTAAACTTTTACCTATTTTACCAGATTATACTCTTAGTGGTTTAAAATAAAACAACCTACTATGTGAGAAACTCTTAATATACTTATTTTCTTTAAAATTTGACAATATAAAATCCAGATAGATAGTATTATATAATAACATGAGGCTTCAGAGAGGGACTTTCAGGCCCTTCCTGTTACTATCTCTTCCTTTTCTGCTTTTGGTTTAAGATTTGTCAGCTCTTGAACCACCAGCTCTTTCTTCCCTGACCCATTCACTCTCTATATTTTAATTATTTTTGTATCGGGGCCATCTGGCTAGGCCTCAGACATTTCACAGCTACCTAGAGGACATCATAAATTACCGCTGGGAGCTGGAGGAAGGGAAGCCCAACCCGCTGAGAGAAGCCAGTTTCCAAGACCTGCCTCTTCGTACGCGTGTGGAGATCCTACACCGCCTCTGTGATTACCGGCTAGATGCAGATGATGTCTTCGATCTTCTCAAGGTGCTTAACTGCCAAGCCCTTACCCTAGATCAGCAATTTTCAATCTCATGGCACACTAAAATTTTCCTGCGTACCAAAAAATATATTTTTGTTTGATCTGACCAAAAAATAGGTATAATTTTGATAAATTCACATAGAATGGGTATTGTTAGCTGTTGTCTTTTTTTTTTTTTTTTTTTTTTTTTTAATTGACCTAAGGGAAAAGAGGTCATTGCCCCTGACGAACTAGTCAGGTATTTCGTGGTTTAAAATTCTTACACCAGTTGAAAATCGCTGCTCTAGAGGGGAAAAAAAAACAAAAAAAACCCCTAAAGTCAGTAATTTGATTTAATGTAATTAAAATATTTATTGAAAGTCAAAAGACTTTAACCCATTGATGCAAGTGAAGTTTGTCCCTACATTTTTATACACATTAGAAAAAAAAAGTGCTATAGAAGGAAGGTATAGTTCTTCACTCCCTCTTATTCTATTGTTAAGTATTTAGAAGTCTATCTCAGAGTGGGAAGGCTATTGCTTTTCATTCATAGGAAGGTCAATTTCTAATCCTGTTCAGTTAGAAATGATCAGATATATTAATGACTTCTCAGTTCAGCCCTACTCATGTATATGATATAAAAATCATTGTGCAATTTAGCAGTCTTTACTGAAAATTCAAGGACTTTAATAGCAATGAGAAGGCCAATACAGGTCAGACCCTGAGGTAAAGTGGATACTGTAGCTTATAATAGATCTACAATAGAGGATCATGTGAGACAGCTTTCATACAGCTCTGTTATAATTGTCTTTTCTTTTATGGATGCACACATAAAATAAGTCAAGCCAATGCTAGGGGCCCAATGCACAGAATTCGTGCAGCAGTGGGCCTTCCTTCCCCCAGCAGCTGGAACCCAGGCTTCCCTCCAGCCACTGGCACCTGGGACCTGGGCTTTCCTCTGGCTTTCGGCACCCTAAACCCAGGCTTCCCTCACAGAGGGAGGCCCTGCTCACCTGCTGCAGCCCACCCGTTGGTGACCTGGGCCTAAACTCTGCAGAGTGATCATGGGGTGAGAGCCAGGCCCCTGACCAATTGCATAGCACCAACCTTGGCTGGCCTGGTGCCAGTGAGTATCATAGCATGGTCCCAAGTGATCATTCCACTCTTCGGCCTTTGGTCAATTTGCATATTATGCTTTTATTATATAGGATTATATAGGACTAGAGGCCCGGTGCATGAAATTTGTGCACAGGAGGATGGGCAGTGTCTCTCAGCCCAGCCTGCATCCTCTCTAATATGGGACCTCTCAAGGGATGTCCGACTGCCCTCTCACAAACCAGGACTCTGCTGGCTTTCAATTACTTGCCTGACTGCCTTGCCTGCCTTGCTAATTGCCCCTAAACACTTCTGCCTGCCAGCTTGATTACCCCCTAACCACTCCCCTGCCAACCTGTTCACCCCCTATTCAGCCAGATTGCCCCTAACTGCCCTCCCCTGCAGGCCTGGTTCCCCCCAACTGCTTTCCCTTACAGATCTGGGTCCCCCCCAACTGCCCTTCCCTTCAGGCCCGGTCGCCCCCAATTTCCCTCTACCGGCCTGGTCCCTCCCAACTGCCCTCCCTTCCTTGGCTATCTTGTGGTGGCCATCTTGTGTCCATATGGGAGCAGCCATCTTGTATGTTGGAGTGATGATCAATTTGCATATTACTCTAATTAGATTGGATAGGATGTTCATAAATTCCTTTTGATTTCTTTTTTTCTAGGTGAAATGGGAGCAATGATGGGGATGGCAAGCATTTTATATCTGTTTCATATGCCCTAATTGAATATTACTTAGGAACTTGGGCATTTTTAAATATAAGGTATATCTGAGTATAAATTTGGAATCCTCATTTTAGTTTTCTCCTCTTTTGTTCCCCATGTCCCCAAATCTCTTCTTCCTGTTCTTGAAACTAGGGTCTAGATGCAGATAGTCTCCGTGTGGAGCCATTAGGTGAAGATAATTCTGGGGCACTGTATTGGTATTTCTATGGAACTCGAATGTACAAGGAGGACCCAATACAAGGAAAATCCAACAGAGAACTCTCTTTGAGCAGGTACATTGTTTAAGATCAGAACTGTGGTAGTTACTGTACAGAAATGTCGTTAAAACTAAATGCATCAGCAGCACTATTTTTTTTTTCCTTATTAAGAACCCAATTATGACAGCACACCTACAGAGATAGAAAGGGAATTGTTTCGTACAGAAATAAAAAAGTTAGTAAACTGTAGCCACTAATACCAAGTGGTGAAAGATACTATTTTGCTGTGAGTTTCTGAGGAGCACCACGTTCCTTATCAGAGACTATTCTATACAGCAGGTTCTTAGCAGTACAATCATTTCACTGCCATTGTTTTACTCTTTTGTATTCAATGTCTGAACCATAGCCTTACTAACTGCTCTTAAATGAGGAAGAATTCTTTAGATAGCATCCTGTAATGATGCTACCATCTTTTTTTTTTTTTTTTTTTTTTTAATGTAGGTTTTCTTATTGCTGGGAGCATTACTCACTATTAGGAAAGTATTAGGTCTTACTCAGATTTTAATATTGTAAAATGTCAGTTTTCCTTGGTTCAACATTCTAATAATGGAAGATAGGAAGTCACCCTTTCCCAGTGATAGCTATATTTAATCCATTTCAGTAGCCTCATGGATAGGAAAACTACTTTTAATACATCAGTACTATGACAAAAAAATTCTATTTAATATGCTGTTTCTTAGGGAAAGTGAAGGACAAAAAAATGGCTCAGGCATTCTTGGGAAAACAGGAAAAAGAAGAGGAAGACCCCCCAAACGGAAGAAACTACAGGAGGAGATTATAGTGAGGTAAGACAATCTTGTTAGTCCTTAATGGTTATAGATCCTCTTGCTGAAAGGAACCTATTTTCACTTGTTTCTCATGCCATGGGAAGGACATGGGACCTAGATTATGAAGACCTGGATCAGAATCCTCATGAAATTACAAGTGTGTACTAGAAAATCAGGAAGCTCTAGCTGCAAAATCTAGCAAGTTACCTATTCTCTCTCTAAGCCTATTGTTTTATTGGACAGTAGGCAATGTGACAGTGTAACAGATTAAAAACCATGCTCATTCAGTATGTGTTAACTTATAAGAAATTTGTTGTGTCACACATTTTTATAGGAAATTGGAGCAAGTTAATTCTGTGATTATGTTGATTAATAATCAGCATTTTAATAGACATATCTTTTATATTTATTTTATTGATTTTTTACAGAGAGGAAGGGAGAGAGATAGAGAGCTAGAAACATCGATGAGAGGGAAACATCGACCAGCTGCCTCCTGCACACCCGCACCAGGGATGTGCCCACAAGCAACGTACATGCCTTTGACCGGAATCGAACCTGGGACCCCTCAGTCCGCAGACGGACGCTCTATCCACTGAGCCCAGCCGGTTTCAGCGAGACTTGCATCTTATACTAGCAGCCTATCGAGTGCAGTGGCCGCTCGCAGCTTCCGCGGAGCTGGCAGGACCCTCCTGGAGCCATGGTTCTCCTACGGGAGCCAGAGGGAGCTGCGCTGCTTCCACGGGAAGCAGGCCTGCCTTCTCTCCTGGCTCCCTGAGGGGACTGGGTGCCACCATCTTTGTGTCAGAATGATGGTTAATTTGCATATTTCTTTTTTATTAGATAGGCTAAGTTTAGGGGTTAGTTCTTTATCATTAGGGAGATTTTAGTAGCAAACATGCTTTGTTTTGTTTAGAATTCACTTTCCTAAAATAAAGAAAAGGCAAGTTACTAAACATGTTTTAAAGTATTTTATATTTAATTTTAGCAAAGAAAAAGATTCTGTTACACTTGTGAATTTTTATTTATATGTTATTATCTTTTAGGAAATTGCAGCATGTGAATCTTAATGATGTGACCTACACTTAATCTTAAATGAATGTGACCTACACTATGTAAATATACTTAAGGATCATATCTGTTATTATATACCTGTGGGAGTTAGGTCGTATTCTTAAAAACCAATGACAATCAATCTCCTTTCCTCTAATTTTAGCACTACTAAATAATCTAAATGCTGGAAGTAAGCCAGAGTTTTTACTGTGTTACTTATTAACCACTAAAATATTTTTAGGAATCAGATTATGAATAAACATATCAGAATTTGATTTGATTTGATATTTAAGAATCAGTATTCTGCTTTTAACTGTCCAGAAATTAGACCACAGTTTGTAGCTTTCCTTCCACAGTGTTTCTGAGAAATGTCCTATAATTATGTTCTATACACACAAAAATCTGTTTCTAGATTTTATTAGCAATCTATATGTCCTTAAGTATTCAAAAAACTGCTTCATACCTATCTCTATTTCACTATTAGTGAAATTAAAGTACCTTAGTGTTAAGAATATAGTAAGCCCTCAATTTTGTGCATCTCAATTTAATGGACAAAATTTCCAATCTGTATGTCATATGTGAAAATTTAACACCTTGTTAATTTTAAAATGCTTTTAACCGAGACTTGGTACAGGTTCTTTTTGTTGTTGTTAATTCACAGGGTTTTTTTGTGTGTTTTTGTGTGTGTGTGTGTGTGTGTGCGCGCGCGCGCGCACTTTTTTAATTGATTTCACAGAGAAGAAGGAAGATGGGGAGAAAGATAGAAACTTTGATGAGAGAGAATCATCAATTGGCTATGTCTTACATGCCCTTCCCTGGGAATACAGCCCAAAATCTGGGCATGTGCCCTGGCTTTAAATTGGTTTGTGACCTCCTGTTTCAATCACTGAGCCAGGGTTTCACTTTAACAGATTTTCACGAATAGGCCATATTTTGAAAAAAACACCAGTAATTTTGCCAACATAAATATTACATATCTATAACTATAGTCTACATTTAAATCCAAGAGTCACTTCTTATAAACAATGTTCAGCAAATGAATAGCATGTGGTCACACCACATCTTGTAGGTAATTGGTTCTCTTGTCACTTGGTGTGACTTTCCGCAGCAGTTTCTACTTGTACCATAGATGTTCCTACATGCGCTAACCCACCCCCAGCCATTAACATTTGTTTATGTGCAGTGGCGGGTCAATACAGCATTTACTAGATCGCTTCAGTATAAATTTAAAATTACAGTAATACACATAGAAAACTGTGATATTAAACTTTTCATACATAATTTTAATTATACAAATGTGACTACATTAGTTAAAATAGGTAAACTAAACTAACTTGTCAATTTTTAACATACACATTCAGAAAACCTATTTTATTATATAATGGACTTTTGGCTTTAATGAACAGTTCTCACCCAAATATATTAGTTCATTATATTGAGTTTTTTACTGTTTAGAATCTTTTGTCAAGCATACATAGACTTGTGCCTCTAATGGTGATTTTATTCTTGATAGCTCTGTATTTAAATATTTCTATATTAAGTAAAATTTTAAATTCAGTTCCTCAGTTACATCAGCCACAGTAAATTTCAAGTGCTTAGTGGCTACATGTAGCTCATGGCTACCAGATTGACAGCAACAATATAGCACATTTTCATTCTCACAGAAAGTTCTATGGAACAAATATGTCTAATATGATTCAGAGCACAAGTAATTATGATCTCATGCTGAGCATTTTTTTATTTTATAATTTAATGCCCATCATCCTTATAAGATCAGCATTATTAATAACTCCATTTTATAGGAACATTAATTAACTTTTACAAGGCATGGTTAGTGGCAAGCCTTGTTCTTAACCTCTACCTTATATGAAGCTAAATTTAAATATAAGGTTGGCAAAAAGAGGTTTACAGTTGTTAATACGTGAAACAAAGTTAATTCTTGTATTATTATTTATTAATTATTTATTTGTATTACAGTTGCAAACCTATTTTTGCCCATCCTTGTATGCCTTATCTTCAGTGTAGCTCTGAGTAAAGGGAGGACAACATTGGAATCTTTATGCTTCTTTTTTCTTGGTATTGAACTGTTAACACTCTTCTATTTGATATTTTTTGATGTTTTAAAAGTTAGTATTTTCCTGTGATTGATGTTACTATAACAATTGGTTCCTATGTCGGTTTTTTCCCTCTATTCCAATACATTTCCATCTTAGCGTTCATTTTTCCAGTGGTCATTTTTTTATAACCTTACCCTGTTGATACACACACACACACACACACACACACACTCATATTTAGTTGGATCTACGTGATAGGGAAAATAAGTTTTGAACATGTCTGTGTTTTAATTGTTAATCTTTTTTTCAGTGAGAAGCAGGACAAAAATTCCATGGTATCTGAGCCACAGACAAGAAATGGTAATGACCTCTACTGGAGTTTTTAGAAAGGATTAAGTAAATGCAATTGATTTGTATTATGGTGGGGATTCTCGTTTTCCAGAGTCATACACTGCAGTTAAGACTGTTGCAGTGCCAACTAGCCTTGTTGCCCTTCAGTTCTCTCTTCCTTGTACTTTATTCTGTGCCTGTCTCTCCTGAAGGATAACTTTTTATCAGGAGTAGTTCTTTTCACTTTTGCCCTATTACCTGGCCTCAGTGTAATATCTACCCAAACATTTAGATGAGCAACTTCTAAAAGAGCAAGCAATCTTTTTAATGTAAAATGCTTTATTACATAAGAGAGTATACTGGTTTCCTATTGAGATTTTAATTTTGTAATCCAAATCACATAATTTGGATGAGAATATAAATTTAGTAGTAGTATCTCAATGTCTCTGAACTGGGGGAGACTGCAAAATGTTAAATCAAAACTATTTGCATAGAAAAATTATACATTTAAGCATTTCTACTATATTCACATCTAACCTATGAAAGTCACAAAAGTTATATTGCTTTTGATCAGTATTCACTTTTAGCTGTAAACAGTGATGGTAACAGGAAAATCAAAAGTATACATTATCTTCAAATTAAAAAGGAATAGGTCTTTTTTACTGATTCCCTGGTTTTGTTCATGAGCCAGAGTAAAAACAAAATTGAGAGTAAGTAGGAAAAGCGGATTTATTTATTGAACCCATCCTTTCTTTTTTTGGCGTCCCAAGGGCCAGGTCAAGGCACTTGGTGGCTCGTGTGCCAAACAGAAGAAGAATGGAGACAGGTTACTGAGAGTTTTCGAGAGAGGACCTCCATTAGAGAACGGCAGCTCTATAAGCTCCTGAGCGAGGATTTCCTACCTGAAATCTGCAACATGATTGCCCAGAAGGTATGCAAAGGGAGTATTCCTCCCCTCTAGATTAGGTATAAAACTTCATTGTTTAAGGATTATTCATTAGAGCTTTTAAAACATTCCACTGTTTCCTGGATTGGTATGACTTTTATCCTTTCTCCTCTGGAGTATTATAATGGGACCTCGTGTCACTTATGGGCCTTGACTGTGGGCCACATAACTTAATTCTCCTTATCCAAGAAGTCCTCTATCCCCACCCCTTACCTCATTGCTTAGACTGGCTTTTCACAATCAGGAAACATTCCCTGAACCCTCAGGTGGTCTCATATCACCCTGTGCATAACTCTATATGTATGCATTTTTTCCCATCATCAGCTTATTGTCTGTTTCCCACTTAGCAGCAAGCTCTAACAAGTATTTGTCTTTGTATCTCCAGTGCCAGCTCTTTCTCCTAGCTCCATCTGAGCTGTATGCCCTCTTCTCCAACTTCAGGGCAAGTTGTAGTTTCATAAACCATAAAACCTATGTTTTAATTTGTGACTTTTGTAAACATCTTTTTTCCCCTACCCATTCAAATACCTGTCTCCACTTAAAAGTCATTATTTCCTTGAGCTGTCCATTGCTCCTAGTCCTAAGATTGTCTTCCCTAACATGTTAATTCATCCCTTAATTCCATTATGAATTTAAGCTTCTTTAGATTAGGGACTATGTTCTACTCACACCATTTCAATCCCAACAGCACCTAATGTAATGTCTTTTCATGTTGGGTGGTCAGTAATAATGTACTTTGCTGTTTCATTGCCATAATTCTAATACATGTTAATAGAAGACAGGTGTGAGAAGCGGCTGCTAGCCCCAATTGCCCTTAGGGAGCAGGAGGAGATGGAGAAGCCCTTAGGGGTGATGGGGCTGGCAGCCACTGCTTGTACCCACAGATGGTGCCAAACAATTGAGGCCTGTGCTGGCAGCGGGTGCAAGCTCTGGGTAGGTCCACAGTATATGGGAGCAAAGAATATTCAGTAACCACCAGAGGCTCCTCCTGATGACAGCAACCAGCACCCCACCTTGGTCTGGTGCCCCCCTCACCTGCTGCGGATGCCCACCATGTTCCGTGTGCACCCCCTGGTGGTCAGCACACATCATAGCAACCAGTTCTATTCCACCATTCTGTCTGTTTGCATATTAGGGTTTTATATATATAGATTACTGCAATATCACCAAGAAAGTACAAAATGACAAATGTTGTGATTTTAATGCTATTTCTACTTAATTTGTTATGAATTTAATGCTATTTCTAACCCTGAAGCAGGTTGATACTTTGGGGGAAATTCCATAAAGTTGCCTTTGATAATAGCAGGAACTAATAGTTTCTCAAGATTTGCAATCTTATGGGTAAATAAAAGAATATGCATTTCACCGTCAATATACCTAATTCCATATTACTATTATTACATTTGGTTTTTGTGATTTGCAACTCAATCTGACAATTGTTTCAGGAATTGAAATACGTAGTCTTCATTTCCTTAAAATATCGATAGCTATAATGTAGTAACAGTTTTATAACTTTGTATCACCTTATATGTGACTTTATTGATAATGGCTAATAGTGGTACATTAAGTCATCCATAAGCCATATACCTAATTAGCTTTTATAATTTTTGCTTTTTCACTACAATATTCAACCTAAGATTTTTGGGAGGATAATCTACAAACATTGCAAAAATGGAGACGGAAATGTGTAGGTATTCTGTTTATTCAAATGTAAATATTTTAGATCCCTATTCCTGATAAAATTAAACCTCACTCTCTTCATTCAGCAATATAAATGTTATTTTTAATACCAACACATAAAAACCATCTCTTCATTAAAGGTAACACATTGTAAACCATCAGGTTTAAGCCTAAATTTGTAATACTGTCTTTTATGTCTTGTATAGTATGATATAACAAAAAGAAGGGTAAGAGACAAAAATCTTTAAATGTCTTGCCTGGATGAATATAAATCTACTTATAAAGTCTATTAATTAGAACTTACTGATAATGCTGGGTAACTAGAATTCTTTCATCACAATCACCTGGCATGCTTATCAAAAACTCAGGTACCTGCCAGTGTACCATTCCCAATCCCCATCAGAATTATTAGTGGCAATTCTTATGCATAGTAAAGTTTAAAAACCACTGAAAATTCACTTACAGTAGCAATAAAACCAATTTTGTTGTGAACCTAATTACAGTTATACATAGCAGGAAGGGGGGAAAACTACAAAATGATTAGTAGTTAGGATATTTTTTAAAGTTTTATGTAAATATGTTAAGACCTCTTTATTTCGGAAAGGAAAGAGTAATTTTACATGTCAGCATTCACCAATGTAAACTGAGATTTATTGTATCCTTAGCCAAATCCTGGCATAGTAAACATTTTTCTTCAAAGTAACAGGTGAATGTAAATATTGTAAGGCAGGAGCATGGGTATGTCCTGCCCTGCCATGTATTATCACATAAATCATCACACTAGAAGCATTCTCAAGGAGCCTTGATTTACTAGACAAACTGTCATAAATTATGTACTCCAGGCAGTACAGATGTATCAGCTCTCCATAATCTTTGCTCAACTTTGGTATTCAGCAGTTGAGTTACATGTTCACAATGGTTAATTGTAATATTTTTACCACTCTGGTGTTTTTTTTTCATTGCACTTTTTATTGAATTTATGCTATTAAATATTAAGAAACCAATAAAGTATGCATAAAAATGTCTGTAAAAGTTTTATTAAGAAATCATGCAAGATGAGTTTCTTCTAAAAAGTTGATTGTAAGGTTTAACAACAATCTAAGGATATATATATTATGCATACAAAAGATGATAGCAAAATATGTAGGAAGCCCTGACCAGGTTACTCGGTTGGTGGTTGTCCTGTATACCAAAAAGTGTGGGTTCGATTCCCAGTCAAGGCATTATACCTAGGTTGCAGTTTTGATCCCCAGTTGAGGTGTGTATAAGAAGCAACTGATCGGTGTTTCTCTGTTTCCCTCTCTCTCAAATCAATAAACATATCTTTGGTAAGGGTTTTAAAAAAAAAGTAATTGGTAGGGGAAAAAAAACAGTTCATCTTCTCTGTATCAAGAATATAATTTTTCTTGTTAGTAACTTTTATCTAATTTGGCATCAAACTGGAATTGGCCTCTGTTGCTACTATCATGATAAACTAGCACAATCCCTTTGAAAGAGAGTTCCATGGTAGGTTTTTACCTTTATACAATATAAAGTTCAAGAGTTCTTCCTATCAAGGTCTTGAAGCTTATAAAGGAGTTGCTCATAGGCATAGTTAAGAAAACTGCTGGGGTAATTTCTGTTGGCAGTTGGGATTGCACTTACTGAGGCGACATAGCCATTCTCCTAACAGAAAAGCTTTCTAAAGCTTCTATCTCATTAAATCTGCTGCCATTGTTTGCATTGTGTTTAACTTGTATAAACCACCCCTTACTGTCACTTAGTTTACTCTCTCCTATGTCCTTTTGTCTTGTTAATGCTTCGGGTTTCAAGATTTTCAAAGCAAACCTAGATAATACTGATAATGAAATTACTGATTTTTAGCTTTAAGAAGGCCCTGGCTTATCACCTCTTACTAATATAACAGTGACACTGGGGCTCATCTCACAGAAATTCCAAAACTTATGTTGGCCTTCAGAATAATCACTTCAGAGTTCTCAAAACTCCTTTGAAATGCCCTGTCAAGCCGCTTCAGTTTTCTCCAAGTTCTAATTTTCTCAAGGAGCTCTCTGATTCCTAGTCCAAGTCTTTTTCTCACACTGTCTTATTCCTGTGGTTCCAAACCCACACAGCTGCTTCTCAGTACTACCACTGAGCTGCTGCCTCAAAGGGGCGGTTTGCCCTCAGCTGCGCATAATGATGCCCTCTTCAGAACCAGTCCCGCCTGCTAAAGATAATGAAACATGACTTTCCCATCTTAGTTTGAAAGAAAATACTTTTTAAATGTTTAAACAGTTAAGGGAGTTTCTTGCCCCTGATAAACATTGATAAATGAGGCAGTTGATATCTGGGTTTTTGTTGTTGTTTTAAGAGAATAAACTGGTTTGCTATCTTATGGAGTTGAATGGTCTTTTTTACTGACTGCCTTAAAGATACCATTCATTCTCATCTTAGTAAATCCATCTCATGTGCCTTAAAAGACGCTCTTCTCCTGGCTGCAGCAGCAGTAGATGAGAACACCCAAATCTGTCTTTTCCTCACTCCAGCCTTAGGAAAAGCATCCATAGCACACAAAGGCAGTTACAACTTAGGTGGGTATCTGACCACCTGTCCATGAAGTCCATCAAGCAGGAGTGAATGTATGGGAGAGTAGAGAGAAGGAATTTTAAGTGTTCACAAGGATTGCTCCATCTTATATTCCCTTTTATTCTGAACTCTTCGTTTACCTTTACCTCATTTTTTAAAATTTCAAACTTTTATGGAGCATTCTTGATTTTTTTTTTAATAAGTATCGGGTCTAGTAATAAGTAATGTCGTTTTTAAACATTCGTTTAAAATCTTGCTTGGCGTTGACTTGTATTGACATAACCCTCAAACACGTGGTATCTACAGAACGTGTGAAGTGCAATTAACAAGTTTTGCTTGAAAAAGTTTGTGTTTGGTTTGGTTTTTGTTGTAAAACTAGGGCTAAGAAGATGGCGGATGAAGAGCATATTCGGCACTGCATGCTTTACGAGTTCCAATTAGGAAGAAAAGCAAGTGAGGCTGCAAAAAACATCTGTAGTGCTCTTGGTCAAGATGCAGTTAGCGCCAGAAAATGCCAGCGTTGGTTTGAGAAATTTCGCAAGGGAAATTTTTCATTAGATGACAAGAGTGGTCGAGGCCGTGTGTCCAATTTTGATCAAGAAGCTCTTCAAGCTCTTTTGGTGCAAAATCCTCAAATTACCCAACAAGAGCTTGCGACAACTTTAAATTGTTCACAAAAAACAATTTCCAATCAATTGCGTGCACTTGGCAAAGTCCAAAAGTTTGGAAAATGGGTTCCT